TACATACATACATACATACATACATACATACATACATGCACATGTATAATTTTACCCCCTCATCAGCATAATAATTAAAAAAAACTTAACCATTGAAACATCAGCTTGTAGAAATCGTTATATTTTCATATGTTTTCAACAATTCAACTTTTATCATTTTACCAAATAGATTAAAGGAATCAGCATTTTTATAATCGTGTCCAAGTTATTCCACAATATTACTCCTTGAACTGAGGATGCACGATATATCGGTATTGATATCAGTATCGGTCCGATATGTAAAACGGGCGATATTAATGTCCAATATTGATTTCCCATTTTTTATTTTTGTGTTTTGGGAGGTGAGATGGTTGGTTGAGCGTCATCTGTTTGATCAGATGTATAATATAATTTGCATGTTTGTGTAATATCGGTAAATATCGATTATCGGCCATAACAGCAATTCTTATATCGGATATCGATATCGGCTGAAATTTTCATATCGGTGCATCCCTAATCTATCCTTCAATTTTATTTGAATTTTAGGTTTTATAAACATTTCAAATCCTGTCAAATTATAACAACTTTCCCTCCTAACAAAATTAGATTGAATATTCAAAGACAACACATTTATAAGATTTTGTTGATTATGTAATCAACTACCTCAGAACATTTTAATAATTTCAATTGATGAAATAATATATTTAACGGGTGACTATAATGTTTTCTGGTAATAATTCTTATAGCTCTTTTTTGCAAAATAAGAAAAGAATTGGTCAATGTTTTACAAGCCTTACTGCATATTTCAACATAAAAAAATGAAAAGTCATAGACCCAGGATTGACAGAACAGTTTGAACAGAAACAACTGATAACTTTCTTTCAGCTTGTGTCTTGTTGTTTATTCGGCTGCTTCGGCTTTCAGCAGACGTTACCTCAGCTTTATGGAGCTGCCCCAGTTTCTCCTGGTCTTTGCTGTAGTTTGCGTTCTGACTCTGATGGCTGCGCAGGATCTCCTGGACCTCCTGTCGGTGCTCAGCCTTCAGCTCCTCCAGAGCGCCTCTCTTCTCCTGCTCGAACTGAGCCTGGGCCTGGCTGAACGTACGCAGCTTCTCCTCAAACGACCGCCTCATCTCCTCCACCTCCCTGGACATGGACACCACGCGCTGCGTGTGCTGCCAGAGAAGACGAGACGAAAGACTGAGCCGAGGGAGGAGATCGATTCATGGAAGCTTTAAACACAGCCGGCAAGTCTTTGATGAAACACCTCAGACAGGTGGAGATGCACTGGCTCAGATCTGCCAATCTGCCTGCTCTACATCAGAACGAACTACACCAAATCAAAACAAGCTAGCTCAGAAATCAACACGCTGAATAATATAAGAAGAAAAACCCGACAGAATATATGTATGTGAGAGGTAGAATATAGGTATGTGAGAGGTAGAATATAGGTATGTGAGAGGTAGAATATATGTATGTGAGAGGTAGAATATAGGTATGTGAGAGGTAGAATATAGGTATGTGAGAGTGGCAGTGTGGTTAATGGGTTGTATGGC